AAAAAATTAAAAATAAAAATCACGAGGTTTTCGTCTCCACATTCTTTTCCCTTGCATAACTATCTATCGACGGGCCCTTTGCGCCATCGACATCAGAGTATAGCTTCTTGGACTCAGTGGCCTGCAACAAATCCAGCTGACACTTGATCACACAATAAAAATGAGGTAAACAATCCAAACACTACCGCACGTATGCTAAGTATTTAAGAACTCACGTTTCCATTGAGTGACGACTTCCTCGGGCTGAGAATCGCTGGGAAGTCAGGCATACAGTCCTCGGCGAGCGCCCGCAGCCTGTTGAGCTCCGGAAGCACGACGGTCCCGAGATCGGGCCTGTCCTTGCGCCTGAGTTCCGTGCACTTGAGCGCCAGCCTGGCAAAAACCAGAGCCTCCTCAACTGGCCAGTCTTGCACCTGAGTGTCCAGCATCTGCTTAAAGGTCCCTTTCTCGATGGACCTTTCGACGTGGTGGGTGAGACCCATGGGGGACTTGGCGGTGATGATCTGTAGCAGCATGACCCCTAAGGAGTAGATGTCGGATTTAATCCCGAGCATGCCCGTCTGCTGGTACTCGGGGTCGATGTAACAGAAGGTACCAGCTGTGGAGGTCATGCGGTACTGGGTGACGGTGTCGGCCACAGAGGGGGGAACAAGGCGGGCGAGGCCAACATCACTAATCTTGCTGACGAGGTTGCGGTCGAGGAGGATGTTGGCAGGCTTGAGGTCGCGGTGGACGAGGGGCTCGGGCTTTGTCTGGTGGAGGAAGAGTAGTCCCGTCCCGATCTCGGCTGCAATGCGGAACCGGGCCTGCCAGGAGAGGGCCGGGGTGTTGCCGCGCCTGAACAGGCGGTCCTCAAGGCTGCCGTTGGCCATGTACTCGTAGACTAGGCACCCATACTCGGGGCACGCCCCCAGAAGGAGGACCATGTTCGGGTGCCGGATGCAGCTCAGGACCTCCACCTCTTGTTGAAACTGTGATCTCCCTTGGGCAGCATCTGGTCGAAGAACCTTGATCGCTACTTGTGTGTGATCCAGCTGGCATTTGTAGACCGGCCCATATCCGCCTTCCCCAATTTTACGATTCTCGGCAAAGTACTCCGTGGCAGTTTCGATCTCTTCTATGGAGTACTTGCGGTATCTCACGTCGTTTTGCGCCAGCCTGTCCAGCACCTTCCTTTTCTCCTCTGCTTCTTTAACAGCTTTCATCTCAGCACTGATTCTCTTCTGGGATTCGAGCTCAGCTAACCTTTGAGCTTCTTCGGCTTTTTCGATAGCCACCCTGCATTTTTCCTTTTCCTTCTTGGCAATTGCTAATGCCGCCTCCTCCGCCATATGTGCCTCCTCGAGCCTCTGTTGCTCTTCTACTTTCCAGCGGTGTAGCTCGAGTGCCTACAAGTGAAACATAGAAAAGTATGTGCTTATGCTGTTTTCCAAATACTGTTTGTGATAATACAAAGTCTGCTTTAATAATATTTCAAGACTAAGAATAGTACTTTCTGTTTTGCTGTGAGTGCTTCTTTGCAGGCTGTGCTGTACATGTCCATTGTTTGTTTCAGCTCTTGCTTCAGCCTTCTCATCTCTGCCTCCACGTCTTCCTGCAAAAAAAACAAAGTACATGAAACAATATGTGTAAAGGGAAATGCATGTAAGTAACCAATTTTTCCTTCTTAAATAAAAATAATAATAACATTAGTGTTTGTTTACCAGGTTCTGTGATCCAGACCAGGAATAGTTTCCACTTTCCTGCGAGCTGGACGAGTAGACCCCAAAGCTGTTGTTTGCATCTGATGACCTGGCATTGGAGAATGAGGATCCGAAACTGGGCCTGTTATCCGTGTCGGAGCTGCTTGAAATACGTGGGGCTATCATCATATCCTGTTCGAATAACAAGTTCATGCTTGGCCTCATTGGGCTCACAAATGATATGTCTGTGTCAGGCATCTGGAGTTCCCCATATGATCGGTTTGCAGCTTTTCCTCTTGTGAAAGGCGACCTGCATGCATATGATGTTAAAAACAGGTCTGTTGTATACTTTTTTTCAGCAATTGCACAATCGAGCTTACTTGATTGTGTCCATTTCTTCTGTTGGGATGGTTTTGGCAGCAAACGGTTGCATAGCAGTACCTGCGGCAATAAGAAACATTTTGATAAAAAAAAAAAAAAAAAAAAAAACTGTCACTAGAAGTAATTAACTAAAAGATTTGCGTAAAAACGAACCCCGCATTCCATAGGGTTGCCCGGAACGTGCATCGGCTGTGGGGGGATGATTGCTTGCATTATTCTGCGCCCGAGAAGCTTCTTTAACGGATGCCACTTTACCTTTGGAAATGACGTAGACTGTGCAAAAATCGGGCGCCCCTTTGGTTACGCTGCCTGCTATATCCGAGCTCTTGAATCTGCTCTCACCAAATTAAGATTCCTAACTGGGAATGACAATGGCAACACAATGTGCCTAATAAACAGCACGGGTGGAGCAAAATAAATATG